TTCTATGTCTACAGAGAGGTCTCCAAGCAAAGCCATCCCTAATTTTCTTCTACCCAAATAGAGGCTGCTCTCTGGGCTATAAGCTTGCTCTGTGTTAACTACCCTGCCATGTCACTGAAACCTCTCTTCAAACTTCTGTCACCTGTGTTATAGTCATCCCTATTGGACTGGGAGGTCACTGCAGAAGGGGATTATGCAATTCATATTTACAATCTTTACTGCAAAACTTGAAGGCACGAGGTGTTGTGGGTATACAGCAACTTAACTGTATTGTGATAACATAGTTTAGAAGCTAAGCTCTAATTCTAATTCAAGTGTTGGCAAAATTTTCTCATCAGTCTCATATGCATAAAACCAATAACACTTTTAAACTTTTAAAAGCTAGGTCTCAATCAGTGTGTTTACTCAGAGCTGCAAAGAAACCTCACATGAACCTTAAAGATAATGAGGACCCAGACCTATAAATGAATACTGTTATGAGTAGTTGACCATTTGGTTGTTTCAGAATGTAGAATCTACTATCATGACCCTGGTAATAGGCACTTGTATAGTTTTTCCTACTTAGGACTCTAAGTCTCTAGTGAAAGACTGTGGGAATTCAGCACATATGATATATGCACTGAGGAGGCTGAAGAGAGTAATATTCAATATTACTAGAGAGCAAGACTTGGTGATCTCAAAAACCTTGTTTGGTGAAGTATATATAATGCTTTCTAGACTTTAACAAACTATAAATATATGGCTACCCCAGACATAAATTAAGTCCTAGCAGCACTTTCGTAAGATAAGGGTGTAAGGGATGGGTGGTAAAAACAATGAACAAGAAACCTGAGAATATGAGAACTCCAGTCCCGTGATAGAGAAAACTACTTCGCCGCAGGTGAGGAGAAAATACTGTGGAATTTGCAGAGCCATGTTAACTGTGTTGGGTGGAATATCTTCAAACATGATCAGTTCGGGGCAGCCATCAGCCTAAACCGATAAGGCAAAAGTGGGAAGAAATTAGAACTGAGATTAATTTCTTAATTAATCTCTAATAAAAATTGCTCAAAAAAGCAAACAGAGTTTGGCTTCCAGGAGTACGTCATACAATTCACCAAGTAAATACACATTTTGAAAGTAAATAAGCAACACTGTATTTTTACAGTGTTGCCTTGGTGGGATTTGAAAACAGGTTCACTAGTGTTTTTCTCTTAAATATGACAGTAGAGATAAGGTTTGCTTAAATCCATTGCCGTCTCTTTGACCTAAAATTTCCCATAGTCCATGTGAATAGTCTGTGAAGAAGCACCAGCTACTGGTCAACACGAACTTTTAGTCAGAATAAGTCAATTTGTTTAATTTTATTCTAACAGTGCTTAAGTCCATGATAAGTTAAAGAATTAGTGGTGAGCTGAATTGATGCTAAATCCCTTTAAAGTGCAGGTCCTAATCGCCCTCTAGTTAAATCACACTATGTCCCAAGCATTCGTGAGGGCTCCTACCAATGGAGTTTGAGTAGAGCTGATGGGACAGAATGAGTTACTGACCTGCCTTCTGATTACGCACGTAAATGCACTACCAAATTCAAGACTGGAAGTTTTGAAAGTATTTTTACATGGCTTTGTAATCGGTTGTGTTGCACTTATTGTGAAGTTTTTTCTGTGAAAAGAGAGAATAACATAGGTTAGTATTCTTGGTGTTAAGGGCTTCAATGAAATGTTTAAAGAAAAAGACTTGAAGTCCTTGAACTTTGGAGCAGAAAGTGTCCAGTGTAAGTACTTACTCTCCGGAAGGAAAAAACTGGTATTCGCTGGCATTGTGACTGGTGACATTTATATAAGCCTTCTCATTCATTGTGATGTTGAAGCTCTCATCAAAAATATTTACAAATCTGAAACAGAAAACCATCTGTCTTGTGAATGGACTATGGAAAAATTTGCTTTAGATCACAGTATGTGCAACTGAAGTTAGGCTATGCTCTCTTCTGGAAGGAATTTAAGATGTTTACAGATGATTTCTAGAGTATAATGTCAGAAGGAAGCAATCCTGGGTTTGTCCTTGCTCATCCACCGATGAGAACACACCTAGAGGGACTTACTTGAAGCATGTGTGTGCTAGGAGCTGTTCCAGATACTTCGTAACTAGGAACTGTTCAATGGTATTTTGGGATATGAAATACGGATCGAAATATGTGCCCACCCCTTTCCCTTCAAGAAGGTAGCTGTGTCTTTGTGTTCCTTGCCTCAGAAGCCTTAGGAGGACCAAAAGCAGAAGTTTCCCAGGACCTAAAAGGTAGCCTCCAGCGGAGCCCTCTTTTGGGGGGGCTGGGGATAGAAGGCCATTTGTTTCCTTTACCTCTAGGACCTGAGGCAGGGAGGGGCTCCAAGGATGGAGAGGAGGAAATGGGCCAGTCCAGCAAACACACAGTTTTGGGGAGTTCCCCTCAGAAGTAGGAACTGTTTGCAGGTTCGTGGAGTGACAGTGACCCGCACTCCCCTGGCATACAGCAGGAACTGGAACACCCAGTAGGACGTGGTGCAAGGTCCCAAGGCTTCCAGTCTCTGCAAAGTCCCCTGTGCCTAAGCTTCACTTGGAACCAGTTGAGTTGTCTGCCTTCCAAGGACCACAGAGGCGGTAACAGTGTGGATAGATGATTAGAGATTTTTTCCTTAATTGGGAGGTTGTAGGAGACCCTGACACCCGTGTACCACCTAGAGAGGAGCAGGTGCTGCCTAAGGTAAGACTAGGTGCTTTTTCCTACCAGACAGGTGAGGGAAGGCTTATAGTAGATGGTCCAGTTCAGAGACTGGGAAGTAGTAACAATGTAAACCCATGTACTATAAATAACAATTTAACCTCTACATCCTTAAAATATGTGGCCAAGTTTATTAGCTTTGTGGCAAGAATTAATCTTGTTTAGTTAAATGCTGGGTACTGGGAGAATATATCTGTGAATTAAACTCAGGGCCTGAAGTCCTTAGGCATTAGGCATGGAGTAGTTTGACAGGTGAGTAATATACAAAACCAAACCTGATGTGGGTCCATAGGAACCTAGTAGATAGAATCAATTTTGCTTCAAACTGCAAAAGCTACTTTTGTCAAAGATTAAGATGAACCATTCAAAAGACAGATAGTAGAGTATGAGATTAGAAAGTAGACCTTTGGACCTGAGTCCTGGCTTTATACAAGCCACAGATTATGAATAAAATCCACCCTCACACTAGAGTACTATTACCTGCCTGACAAATGTCTCAGGGCAGGTGAAAGATAATAGTAAGAATGAAAATAATCTGAAAAAAAATGCACCATCACACATAACAAATGTGTTTTCCTACACAAACACAGAAATGGTAGAACAGAAGTAGCAAACACACTCTGAGTGTTTAGAAGGGTGAGGAGAGCAGAGATCCCAGATCTACTGTGCACTAATAGATTTGATCAGGCACAGTCCTAGGGCCCCATTCAGGCTTCAGGTTAGCTCAGGCCTCTTAGAAGCACCCGGATGTAAAGCTACAAAGTGATCAAGGGGGTGAGGTAAGGAGAGTAGGAACGAGTTGAGAAAATAAGATGGGACCAGCTCCTTAAAGACCAATCAAGGGGCAGAGGGTTTCATTCCTTCTTATACCACAGAATTCATCCATTTAAAAGAACAATTCAGGGTTTTAGCACATCCACAAGGTTATGCAGCCATCATAACAACCTGACCCTCTTCCATTCAATGGGATCTTTGTGACTGGCTTCTTTCACTTAGCATAATGTTTTAAGATGTATCCATGTTATAGCATGTGTCAATACTTCTTTCATTTTTATGGCTGTATAATATTCCATTTTAGGCAATACCTCATTTTATCTATCAGTTGATGAGTATTTTATTTCTTTTCACCTTTTGTTTATTGTGAATCATGCTGCTATGAACATTCATGCACAAGTTTTTGTGTGGACACATGTCTTTGTTTCCTTTTCAATCTGGATTTTAACTTCTTTTTCTTACCTCATTGCACTGATACCCAGAAGGATGTTGAATAGAAGTGGAGTGATTGCATGATCATGCCTTGTTCCTAATCTTAGGGGGGAGCATTAAGATTGTCATCATTGCCTAAATAGTAGCTCAGGTTTTTTCAGAGTAAGGAGGTTCCCTTCAATTAATGGTTTGCTGAGCATTTTGATCATGAATGGATACTGAATTTTATCAAATGCTTTTTCTGTATCAATTGATATGACAATATGGATTTCCCTCCCTAGTTTGTTAAGATGATAGATTATACTGATTGATTTTTCTTGAGTCTATACATTCATTGAGTAAAAATGAAATCACCATGAGATACATTAAATTCAGTTTCGTTCAAATGTGGCTGATGTCCACGTGCAGCAGAGATGAGCTGAGGGGAAGTGGTGATACAGTGACACTGGTGAGGGGACAATAACCAATATTCTGTTAGTGTACAAGTGGCACCACACACCCAGTGTGAGTCAGTCAGCAAAGGGAGGGGGCACATTTAATGAGCAGGGATAAAACCAAAGTTGGCAAGAACTTTCAGAAGAGGAGAGGGGCAGAGTATTCAGAGAACAAGTGGCAACAGAGGCGGATCTGCTGGTTCACTTGGGAAACACAGAGACCACATGGTAGCCCTTGGGTGGTGTGACCTGTTCCCGGGGTGCTTTTCACAGTAGATCTGATCCTTCACGAAGATGTGGCCCGTTTCAGGCTGCAGCTGGTATACACACCTCAGGGTGGCAGCGATGGTCCCACGGATTCCCAAATACGCCGCCAATGCCAGCACCTCGTGGGTCACACCGGGTGACTCCTGGGCATTCCCAATCACAGTCCCTTTGGTGACTGGCACCTTAACGCTCCTGAATCCCGAGGGCTCACTGGGATCCCCTTTCTCCTCAGACTCCAGGGTTTCCCGCAGAGCCAGGAACGAAGTGGACTGTGTTGGGGGCTCATTTAATTCTTTTTTCCTCAAGCATCTGGTAAACCTCAGAGTCCTTGTCAATGACGAGTCCACTTGTAGGCTGAGGATGGTCTACGGCTCTGCCGTTTGTCTCCTGCCCACCAGCTGCCGCCTTTGACTCCAGGTGATGCAGCTGGAGATGTTTGCCAAGGAATAGAGGCCTGCTGGCTTGGGGTGACCCTGGGAGCAGAGCCAGCGGCAGGTCGGGCAGTAAAGGGCGTGGCAGTCCAGCTGTGGGCACTTCCTATGTGTAGGACCATGCGGTTTAGAAGCTAAATTCATCTTGCATGGATGATGTTTCCCTTCCTCTGTCACCAGAGACTACCAGATTTTATGTTCAGATGTGGCTGCTGGGAGAGTCACGTTGCCTATGCAGAACTTGCTTTTGTTCTGAGCTGCCGAGTGTGTCACGTTGCTGGAATTTTCCCCATCGATGGCTGTGACTATATCTCCAGTACTGAAATTAGCTACTGCAGCCCTGATTCTGGGAGTGACCCAGGAAATGGTGAGAGGTTGCTCGAAGTCCTCGCCCCCCAGGGAAGGAAGCCCCACAGCCCAAGGCCCTGGGGGCCTATCTGCTGGGGGGTCTTGGTGCAGTGACAGCGGGCGGTGACCTGGAAAGACAGACCAGGCTGGGCACCAGAGGGGGCGCTGGGCCCCTCGGGCAGCTGTCGGATAAAGATCACCGAGGGGGCTATGGGCCCTGGGCAGCATGAATTATTATTTTGAATACCGACAGCTTTACATTCTTGGGATAAACCCTGCACTCTCATTTTACAGCTTTATTAAAGTGTTTTACTAAGGGTATGCATTTCTTCCATAAAGAGCTGATACAATTTAAGTTTTAAAGAAATACACATACCTGATTCCATTTTCTCCTTTTTCTGGCTTCTGGTTCAGGCCATCCTTCACCTGAGAAAGAAAACATTTTCAAATCTAATGCATTAGAATAAGTTTCGATGATCATTTCAGCCTTTGAGAAGGAAAATGATGTTGACACTTATCCTAGGAGCTCAAGGCATAATGACTACATTTCCAGGGCTCCACCATTCAGCCCTGGTTTTCCTTCAAGTTAACATCAGGTCCTGTAGTTTTGATGCTTGCTCTCTGGAGGTCTGGCAGGACCCTGCCCTCTAGGACTTTATAACAGGCCACTCAACAGCTCCCTACTAAACACATGACCAAGAAGTTTTAATTCTCTCTCACAATTTTATAGAAGCTTACTTAAATCCACCTTAAAGAATACCCACAACTCCTTCATTTAGTTCAGCTATACTTCATAGCTTCTTTATATGCTGAATAGCATAACTAGATGCTTACATTTGTTGTAAAGTATTTTATATGTGTTTTTATTGCTTTTGCCCAATATACTCACTAGTTTTTCAGAGACTGCTCTAATTTTTCAGTTACTCAGTACAGAATTTTTAATTAATACAATTAAAGATATATTTACAATGTTATCTCAAAGTCTCTGAGAATGTATATACTGTGTGACTTGTGTACCCACACACACACACCATGCCATGCCCAGAAGTTCTTTTAAAAAATTTTAATTAATAACCCTTCCAGTCCACCAAACTTATTAGAAGTCAAGTGACCTGCATCCTTGAGGGAGGAAGAAATTGAAGATTGTCTAATATACTACTATACAGGGGTAAAACAAAGGCATCCTGCTCAGAGGCTCTGTCTCCAACATCACAGATAGTAAAGAGCCACCCGTAGGTGTCCAGCTACTTACCACCTGGTAATGGTTGGGAGCCCACACGAAAAGGGTATGGCGATGGCCCGCCTCAAAATTATGAGTGACCGGAGTGACTGGTGATCCCGGAGAAGAAATATTTATACTTGTCAGTTTGTCTATATCAAAAGTCATAAACTTATCAGTCTACAATGGGGGAAAAGGGGAAAAACAGTCAGTACCGCAGTGTCTCGGTCTGCTCCATGTAACTGAACATTGTCATGGCAGATTACATCCCCAGGTTCATGTTCATAGGTAGCAAAAAACGCCTTGCGAGGGTTGGCATTGGTGGGTTGCAACCCTTCCTCTTTTTATGGACTCTGTCTGAAGTCATTTAGTTTTGCCATGAGAATTATGCTTTTCAGGCAGCATTTTGCTTTTATTTCATTTTCTGAAGATAAATGCTACAGAAACAATTACTACTACTGGGCAGAAAATACCATCAGGGGAAAAGGAAAGCCCTGGTAAAATACTGGGCTGCCCCAAGCACCAGGAGTCAAACTTTCTTTTTTCTTCAAGATTATTAGTTTGGCAAGGTCTAAAGGAATGGTTCTCAACTGTGATCGACCAGGAATGAGACCAGTTAAATCAACTTCTCTGGGACTGGGACCCAGGTATCAGAATTTTCAAAGCTCTCTGTGTGATTCCAATATGGGTTCGAGGCTGAGAACCTCTACTTCAGGCCAATGATCGTCTAGATTAGGGTTTTCCGACCTTGGCACTATTGATCTTTGACGCCAGATAATTTCAGTTGTGAGGGCCTGAGTCAGGACCCCTGGCTTCCAAATATGAGGAGCCAAGAGCACTTTCCCTGCTGTGACCACAAAACATGTCTCTAGGGATCGCCAAACGTCCACTGAGGGGGCAAAACAGCCCCCGGAAGAGAACCACCGAGCTAGAGCCTCCCTTAAAGTGTGGTTCCATGAACCAGCAACAGAAACCTGACACAAGAGAGAGCTCATTAAGAAGGCAGCATTCAGGCCTACGAACCAAGAATCTGCATTTTTACCAGCTCCTCAGGTAATTCACATGCATGTTAAAGTTTGAGGCACATGGTCTAGAGCAAAGCCAAAAAGAGATCAAGATACCAAGACATTTCACTTCCGGGCTGTCCTGGGGATCATATAAGGACCAAGAAGATCGGCTTCTCTAAATCCTATTCTAACTCAGGGCAGAAGATGAAAAAGAAATTTGTATTTCCTCTCACTTACTTGAGACATCTGTCCGAGGGTCACCATCTCTCCAGGAAGAGATACATCCATGCTACTATCTCCTATATTCAACACTTTAATTTGGACTTCATTTCCTTTGGGGAAGACTGGAAGAGTTTTCTGAGCAAAAGAAAAGAAAACGCAGTGATGGCGCCAGTGCACACTGGAGAGAATCTTTACTGTTGCCCGGCAGTGACTTTTCACCCGCCATGGCCCGCTGTGCTGGCTGAAGCGAGCCAGCACCCCCGTGAGGCTGCCGGTGGTTCCCTGCACCGCCCAGAGGAAACTATGCTGCCCAGGACATGGGAGTGATCAGAGAGAGGCTGCTCTTGGTGCCACCCAGCCATCTCTAGGTCATAAGATGCCAGGTTAGGGTCCTACTAGCTGAGGGAGGCAGAGTAACCATAGCCTACATGAGTCTGTCTTGTGCCCCTGAGACCTGCTCTCCCAGGACTCCCACATCCTCCTGCAACCCTGGGAGCCTAGACCTCAGCCCTGGACACGGTGCTCCGAACATCCTCTCACAAATGCATGATGCCCCTCCTGCCTGCCTCCCCACCAGCACATACACCTTTGCCCAGGATTTCTGCTTTTTCCCAGCAATGTCCTCGCTCAAACCCCAGTGTCATGAAGAAGTCCAAGTTTATTTTAGCCCCACAATTCATTTTCCACAAAGCTAGCTATGCTCAGGAAAAAGTGAGTCCACCCATGCTCAATATTATTTACAACAGCCAAGAGGTGGAGAAGCCCAAATATTCAGTAATGGGTAAATGTGTAGACACGTGTGGTACATTCATTTAACGGAATATTATTCAGCCTTCAAAAGGAAGGAAATTCTGACACATGCAACAACATGGATGAACCTTAAGGACATTAGATTGAGTGAAATAAACAAGTCACAAAAATACTGTATGATTCCACTTATATGGGGGACCGAGAGTAGACAAATTCATAGAGACAGAAAGTAGAAGTGTGGCTGCCAGGGACTGGGGGAGGGTTAATGGGGGGTTGTTTAATGGGGACAGAGTTTCAGCTTTGCAAGATGAAAGCATTCTGGAGATTCACTGCACAACAATGGGAATGTATTTAACATTACTGAACAATACTCTCGGAAATGGTTAAGGTGTTAATTTTATGTTATGTATATTTTACCACAATTGAAAATTTTTAAAGAAAGATGAAAAAGGAGGGAGGGAGGGAGGGAGAAAGTATGGGGGAGAGAGACACAGAGAAAGAGAGACAGAGATGGAGGGAAAGGAGGGGAAGAGATAGAGAGAGAGGCAGGGAGGGGGGAAGGAGGGGAGAGGAAGAGACAGCTTTCCACCTGCCCTGCATACTACATTATGCCCTGTTTCTAGGACCCCATCTCACACCACCAGCATCAGGAGTCGAGGTGAGCCCCCTGTGGGTCCAGGAGATATGTGGGTTGGCTTGGGAACTACCGGTCATTTGAAGCGCTAGAAACCGAAAGGCGTCTTCTCGTCAGACCATTTCTACTTTTAGAAGTGCTGCTTGTTTATGAGTGATCAACTTCTTTGAATTAGATATCCCGGATCTCAGATTGCAAAGAAACAAGCTCATAAACTTCCTCTCCCATTACAGAAACTGTACAAACAGGAGCTCCTGTGTGACGGCCACTGAGTTTCCCCTGACTGAGCACCCCCTTCTGATCCTGTTCCTGCTGTGTCCTTTGCAGTGAGAAGCCGCAGCACACGCTGACCAGAGGGACCATTCCATCCCTGCGGCATGCTGTCTACAGCTCTAGGACTTAGTCTGTCAGCAAAGACCCTGGCTTCCCCTCATCCTCTCAGTCCTGGAGAAAGAAGACTTCTGAGCGCTCCACCTGACCTGCAAGGAAAGGTCACTGGAGAATCATAGGGCGACTCACATCAATTTCCACCTGCACGACTGCAGCCACTACAAACGCCATGGAAGCCAGGAACATGCCGACTGTCATCTTCTTCAGGGAGCTGCCAGGACAAGCAAGAGAGTGGCTCTCAACCAGCCTCAGACAAATAAGCTAATAATAAGCCCCGCAAGGAAACCCCCCACCACCCAGCAAAACTAACTTCCCTACAAAACACTTGATTGGAAAGTGTCTCTTCCTCTCTTACCCATGACCAAGACTTTGGAGGATAAATGGAATACAGCTTCTTATTTGCATTTTTACATTTAACTTCTAGAAACAATAGCTCAGGTGATAATTAGGATGATGAGTACCATTTCTACCACCAATATGAGGGCCTTAACTAGAGGCTTTTAAGGCAGCCATTAATTTTTTTGAATTTTTAGCATTTTTAGTTGAAGGGCAAATTTCCAGAAACATCAGCATGCAGACATCTACTTCAAATACATTTGTTTCAAAACCCCGTCACATAGGTGGTGCTGGGGGAGGGGAGCCAGGCATTCTCTTTCCACCCCAGGTACCAGAGGCTGAGGGTGGGCATTCTATTCGCAAAACCCTAGGACTGATGGGGCCTTGCCCCGGCTGGCAGACACTCACGTGAAGTTGAAGCCACACTTGGCAATCAGAGGGTACACCACGGCATCCACAATGGGGACCATGATCACAATCAGGATAGCGTTCACGGTCTGCAGAGGAGGCGGGTGGGGGCGCTGTGACTGTGATCTCAGAGACCCTCGACTCGGAAAGCAACTGAAACCCTTTCTTACCTGCATCTGATCTGGCTGAAGGTCCAGAAGTCCCTAAAAAGAGGGGGAAAAGTCTATTGGTAAGTTCCCATAATCGGTCAATGGGGGGCTAGGGATGTCATGAAGGGGAAGGAGAGAAAGGGCAATGGGACTAAAAGGAAGAGTGACTGGGGAAGCACAATAGCTGACATCCCAAACTTACTATTTTCCCATTCATCGCTGTTGCTTGCAGTGTCCATCTGGAGCCCTTAAAAATGAATGCGTTTACTCATTATGTGGGAATGTGGATTTTAAACATTTTACAAGTCAATGTTCGGTCTTCTTCAAATCAGGAATGAGGTCTGAAATGTTAGGGGTTTAAACATTTGTTTCAACATCAAGTGCCTCTCCCAGCTCTGCTGTAATACTGGGGCAAAACCAAACAAAGAACTCGCATTTCTGCTGAACAGATTGATGCAACACTACCTCCAACCCCTCGTGAAGAATCTGCAAAGTACTACTCCGAGATAAAGCTATTCTCACCCTTGCTGGGAAGCATGACATCACTTGCAAGGTGATGGCAGCTGTGCGCCCTGCAAACATTCTCTACTTGCTGCAACATAGCTTTATTGTTAGGAGCCATATTTGACAGTCCAGGCTGTCCTAAAATGGAATTCCATCAAGAGAGTGAGGGATTTAAACCTGGCCAGCCTAGTTACATTCAATCTATTTTATAAGCATAGATAACTCAGGACTATATAGGTAAATGTGATTGTTTCTATAGGCGACTGACCATGTAAATGCTTCAACATAATCTGTCAACTCTACGAGGAGGACATCATAGAAAGTCAAGAAATAAGCCACTGTTTGAGTTAATATATGTCAGTCGCTGATTGCCTCACACACACACATTCTAATTTGAGCCTCACAGCTGGATCATGGGTTATTACCTTTCCAGAAGGGTTAAGGACTTTCTCCAAGTCAAAGAGCTAAAAGGGGATGAATGCATTTCTAGTGCAAGTCTGACTCCATCAACCGGTTCCTAGCCCATATACAAAATTGCCCCCCTGTACTTAGATGTTTGTTTAAATCCTATACTTACAAATCAGGAGATTAACATTGTACACTCAAATATTGTCCAAGAGATGGTTTACCCTTATAATAATCCTTCCTGTACAATAAAACTATGTGTGCTTGTAAAAAATTCAAGCTCCAGTTTCTAAAAGAAACAATGGCTTATTACTTTGGCTACTGAATATCATGCATTGAGTTGTCTGACCCAGTTTTGAAAAACTCCTAGGCACACATACTATAGCTGTGTGGGGAAGAGCAGAGTGACATGGCTGTGATCTGGGTTCTAGCTCTCTGTTCTCATAAGAATGACTTCATTCAAGTCGTTTCACATCCCCGGATGGTACTTGTAGCTGAAGCATTCCATTTTAGAGTGGAAAATGTCAAGCCCCTCTCAGCTTAAATAGCCGATGTGTTCTATCCTTTTACCATTCTGTATGAGTAGAACTAACTCTTTATTCTTAGTTTTGACCATTGAAAGTCCTAAATGCTTTGATCAAATCTTTCCCAAGCCTCCTTTGCTTAATCACACCCACTTTTCGTTATTACTTTGCAACAGAAATGTGGATAGAACTATGTAAAGTTGGGGTTTTTTATATCATTAATGTACAATTACTTGAACATTATGGTTACTAGGCTTCCCCTATTATCGAGTCCCCCCACAGACCCCATTACAGTCACTGTCCATCAGCGTAGTAAAATGCTATAGAATCATTTCTTGTCTTCTCTGTATATATACTGCCTTCCCCGTGCCCCTCCACACTACATTATGTGTGCTAATCGTAATGCCCCGTTTTCCCCCTTATCCCTCCCTTCCCACCCATCCTCCCCAGTCCCTTTCCCTTTGGTAACTGTTAGTCCATTTTTGGGTTCTGTGAGTCTGCTGCTGTTTTTTTTAGAGTTCGTTTTTAAAAAAGAAACCAAGGTGATCTAAAAATTATCAAACAAATGAAATATAAAAAAAGAATTGAAAGCATTTTTAGGAGCTAAATACTAAGTATGGCTTGGTACATTGTGGTGCCCAAAGAATGTTTGCTAAATGAAGATGTATAGAAACACAGTTTCATGTTACCTGCTGATCAAACAAGGCCCAGAACATTGGGAGTGGAATATACAGGAACATCACCCTGGTAACCATCTTAATTTGAGAGATAAGCCGCTCCTGTAGTTGGAATGGGGGAGGGACAAATCAGCTACCTCTTGCGTTACTCACAGCTCTGCCGTGGTCAGTATCACTATAGACATATTTGCATCTAGAGACAGCTGGGAGGTGATGAATTGTTCTGAAGAACCGTACTACAGGTTTCTTTAGAAAACCCCAAATTCCCAAGCTATTTAAAATGTAAGTGAAAACATCTGTTTAGGAGGTAATTACTAGAATTTCAGTATAAGTGCCACTAAATGTAAATCCCCCCCCACCACGAATTAACTCTTCTATATTCAAACTTGTTATGTGATCACAATTACATGTATTTAATGGAAGATTTTATCAAATGAAAAACTATGAAAATATATTATTGTTTCCAGATAAATGGTACACCTTGTTTATCAAGTTCTCACTAATTAAAAACAATCTCCCATAGTTTTGTTAAAATGCCAATAAAGTTCACAAGGATACAACTGATAAATTTGTTCACGTGACCTCAATAATATGAATTATGACTGTGGAGTTCACTTTCTAGAGGAAGCTCGCCTGGGCCACTGCAGCCAGATGATCACTTACATCGTATTTCTCTTTAGCCCAGTCCAGCCAGTGCTCCCTCTTGGGAAATGCCTTACTCCGATGCTTAAATCTATTTTTGATGGCAAACTGAAGAAAGAAAAATCAAATTTCAAAACAAAACCAATTACTTTATCAGAGAAACACAGTTCAATTAAGCTCCCCTTCGTGGGAAACTGAGAGAGCAGCAAAATATACAATTGTATATACTGGTATAATGATGATGCTAAAAGGCATGACATGCATTTATTTCTAATCTCTTTCTAACTATGAGTGGTTGAGGTGGGTAAACAAAGTCACACTGTGACCACTATACTCTCCACATCCCCTAGAGAGGACGGGTCAGTAGAAATAGGTCATGTGACAAATTTGCAATCCAAGTTTTCTGGTAGCCATATTCCAAAGTAAAAGGGAAACAGGTGAAATTCATTTTAACCATGTTGTTTAACTCAATAAACCCAAAATATGATCTTAATCGGTGATCACTATCAAAAAATTAATGAGACTTTTTATATTCTTTTTTCATGCTGTTTAAAAGTAAAATTCAACCAAGTAAATTTGAAGATCTAATTGGCTTTATTAAGTGATTCATGAATTGGGCAGCATCCCCTCTGGCAGGTAGAGAGGTTCAAAGGGCCACAGAAGTGGTTTTTTTGGAGTCTGAACTAAGCTGTCAATCACTTGTTAGGGAAGGACTTGAAGAGATAATTGCTAAGAATCTCTCTTAGTTTGGAAAACACGTGTTGGTGGGAATCCACCCAATCTCAGAGGGAAGTGCAGGAGGTAAACAGCGAAGCTGCAATAAAAGTGCATTTTTTGGACTGTGAAAGGACACACTAATTTCATCAGGTACACACTTAGAATTTAACACCATAAAGCCAGGTAAAGGGAAAGTAAAATTATCTTAAAGCTACCTTTTCATCCAAAAGATTATCCACACATATATATTTTTAAATAAATAAGTCACACACTTTCCCCCAAATACACAATGTACATGTTCACTAAAAAAATGGGGAATATATAGGGGGAAAAGTTGATTCCATTATTTAGATTCCTGCATTCAGTATTTATTTCCAGACTTAAAACGTGCCTGTATGTACATATCCCATGTAGATGCACATGGAAACATCATATTCTGCATGCTCCTATCACCAAATAGTGTTTGAAAACAAGACTTCTGATGGTTGCATGACATGGCATAGAGGTAAGTTAAGTACTATTAAGTAAGTTAAGTACTATTCTTCAGCAATTTGGTAGACTTAAATTTTTGCTGTTATAAATATTACATTGAAAATCTTCACATGTGAGTCTGTGTTCATGTTTAAAAGTTATTTTCTTGGCCTTAACTCCCCAGCATAGGATTATTGACTGTTGCACCAGAGGTTTCCAGCTCCAGACAAGTTTACTTTGGGTTTGGTGAGACGGGATGACAACAGAACACGGGGGGTAGAAGGGCTTATACCAAGCTTTATTCACAGTGGCAGGTGGAGTGCTAGAATCCCATCCACATCCAGCAAGTGTGCATTACATCTCTGCCAGCTGCACAGAGCACTGGGCGGAGCTCTTTATATAGCAACACAGCTTACCAAGGTTCACTGCCAACACAGTGTAAGCATGTGCCCACGCAACAGGCCAGTTACATCATTGTTTGTGTGCAGTGGCCAAGTAGATGAAGGCCAGGTCAGAATCCTGGCCATTGGAACTTCCATGTTCCCTACATTGACACTTCCGCAGTTCTGACTTATTATATACAACACCAAACCACGCCTCTACACTTTTGTTCACTGCTGCCTGACAAACGTCAGACATGGTTCACCAATTTGACACGTGAAGACTCACTTTGATTCACTTTCTGTTTCCCACTGACCTTAGTTTACACGTTCAAGAGTTGTCTCTATCCCTGCCTTTATGAGCTCTGTTTGTGTCCTTTCCATTTGGTGAGTGATATAAGAAACTTCAGTTTATCAAAATAGTTGAGTACACTAATGAAATACTTAAAGGGAAGTCAACCCGTCATTGAATTCTAATTTAAAGGAGGTGGAAGGTTCCTGCGGGCCTAAATGTCACCGAGAGAGGACTCCTGAAATACTTACACCAATGCAATTGGCAACTTTGGCCATGATGTTACCCTGGGGCTGGAACTTCTTGTACATTCCACTTCCAATGACAAACACAACTAAATAGGGCAAAAGAAGATGTATTAACCAGGTGTTTCACAGAACCACCTATGACCTAGAAGTTGTACTTTCATTTACATCATAACCTTGTGGAGGGGTCAAGGGCAGGTCACATCAAGATGTGCCATTTTGGCATGTTGTCTAGATCAGGGCCAAAGCCAATCATGGCCCAAAAGACTCAGAAAGACACTTTGAAGACAACCCCTCCTTCCCCAGCCACTGCATAAAAAGGATTTAGATGGAGGAACTGCTCTAGGAGGAGAGCTGTCTCCACAGATAACTACCTTATAATGTGCCGTAGGTGGGGTAGACGGAGGAATGCGGCTAAGTTCCTTAAAATTTCTATGTCCCATTGTCTCTGTGTGGCCTGACAAACATTTGTTTATCAAACATTTACTCTTTCATATTCCCGTGAATTGCTCCCCTTTTCCTTTGATGTCCCAGACCCATGTCCCCTTTTCCTTAGTTCAGGATGACTTATATATATATATCACCATACCTGATTGTCTTTGGAATCTATGTCTATGGATTCCCTATACATACATAATTAAACTTTGGGTTTTTCCTCGTATTAATCTATTTTTATGTCAATTTGATTCTTAGACCAGCCAGAGGGACCGAGTGCTTTCACATGACAGACTAGTGTATTACTCTACACAGACCAAAAACCACAGCTTTAATTTCTGGTTGCAGAGGTAAGAGAGAGTTTCTCCTATTTCTTTATAATTTTCAGGAAAAAAACAGGAACTAATAATCTGTTGAAACTTTTATTTAATCATATGTGGCAGAATGAATTCTGTGGTCATGGTATAGAAACAGTTAGTGATTTGCACCTGCGGCTACAGTTTTACAAAAGTTAAACCATTTTTTACAATGAGGCAACTCCTCCATGGACCTTTTTAAGAGGGGCATATCATGAAAAAAACTAAAAAAAAAAGCATTTCTGCAGGAGACTCTGAAAACACAATCCCTATACTCAGATTTCTGATTATTCAACACCACAATTCAGTAATTTAAAAGAACTGATGGGCTGATTGAATTCTACTTGTTTTCCTTAATTTAAGAGGGCCTGAGATTTTGACAGGTGCCAACTCTCAAGCATATCTCCATGTACACCTGCATTATAGATGTTCTTTACAGTTGAAGAAAGGGAAGGTTAGCTTGTTCTCTCATTCAAGGCCCATCTGCCTCAGTGCACACAAGGAGAGCAGAGATACCCTAGAGACTGAGTCTACACTTTTTTTGTCAAGTAATATTTTAATCTTGAAGCCCTTGATTAACTGAAGCCTAAATCAAGCATGAGATTGTTGCAGATAGAAACTTCGAGAGCAGGTGTGGATGCATAGGATTTGATCTCTTCTCAATTACTCCATAAGAACAAGCATAATTTTAGATGTAAGAATGACTCATACAGATAAAATGATAATTTACCTAAATGCCAACTTAATACAGTATCGGGCTTACAACAATTTTTGAAATCCTCTCTAGCTCTTGCCCAGAATCAGGGAGAAGGCATATATGAGCCTATTAGGGGAGGATGGCAGTATTTAAACAATTATGGAAGAAGATGAACACATAAAAAAGGCAGAATACTGAGCTTTCCCAGTAAGTGTAAGGATAAAGCTAAATTGCTACCACATAGCAGAAGAGGTTTAAAAAGGCATACTCGATACTGTTAAGAATGGAAAAAACAAATCAGAGAGAGTGACATCACCTCATTTGAGTGGGAGGCCATGGAGGCTCGAGATGATTACTGGGCTCTTTCCTCTTGTACTACTGCTGTCGGTTGAACTGTGTCCCCCCTGGAAGATGTTGAAGCCTCATCCCCCATACCTCAGAAGGTGACATTATTTGGAAATACAGTCTCCGCAGATGGTTAAGTTAAGATGAGGTCATTAAGGTGGGCCCTACTCCAGTATGACTGGTACTGTTACGAAAGGGGAAATCTGGACCCAGATGTGCACACAGTGGGAAGGCCACAGGCAGACTGGCATTGGGCTGCCACAGGGAAATACAGGGAGGTAAGAGAGAGGCCTAGAGATCCTTCCCAGTGCCTTCAGAGGGAGCATGGCCCTCCCAACATGTTGATCTTGGATGTTCAGTTTCCAGAACTGTGAAATACTAAGTAAATTTATGTTGTTTAAGCCACTCGGTGTGTGGTATTATGTTATGGCAGTCCCAGAAAGTAAAGACACCTACCATCTTTCAAGCTAGACAATTTCAGAAAATTCTTCACAGTTCTTAAAAAGCCAGTGCCCAGAACTAATATGCAAATGATGCATCTAGTGATCCCATATATTCTTCCCAGAGGGAAGGTATTCCAGTAGCAGAAACATTTTAAGATGACACATTATGGAAATCTAGATGTTCACTACAAGTATTAACACAATAATCGGCCCAGGATGCTATGTCTTCAAGCAAATTGTAGGTGAACATGTGTTCATAAGAACAAATACTCTCAGCCATGGGTTCACCTCGTCTAGCTTATTCTATCACTGTCATCTTACTCTGCCTAAAGAGAATCAATCCTTTAAGTGTGCACCTCAATTGATCCCCTCTCCTATCAATGCTTTTTTGGTCCTATTCCCTCTGAAACAATATGCCAACTCTACTTTCTTTGAGTTCTCAGAGCATGTTTAACAATGGGATAGGAATTCTTCATAGTACTCATTACTGTGATTTGTTACATGAATGTTTAAAAATTGGTCACAATAATTAATGTGAGGGACTGACCTGATCATACGACTGTATCGATTCAATTGATTTCTACTTACTCAGAGCTACAGCCATGAGAGCAGCAGGAACCCCAAACGCCAGTGGGTAACAAGCTTGTTTACTATGGATTCCACATTCTTGAACTAGGGAGAAATTACAAGATTAAAATTCATATGGCATTGGTAATGCTCAGATACTTCACATTAAGAAAAATCTCTAACTAGTTTTTACATATTGTTTTCACCAAATGTTTTAGACTTATCCATTCACGTTATTGATGCCATGGCCAGCAGAGCAACGCAGTTTTGTAGTAAAGAGATGGAGACAGGTTCTAATCTTAGTGCCCAAATAGATGTCTGATACGGGCCAATCAGTGGGACCCTTATGTCTATGGATTTTCTTGGTGGGGGACCTAAAAATGACCAGGATACAACAACCTGAAGATAGTGGGACTCAGTAAATAAAATCAAAAGTACCCAGGGAAATCAAGATTATGTGTCTCTGAATTCATGCCAACTAGAAAAAATTTAGATGACCCAGGGCAGGGGTCAACAAGTTTCTCTGTGAAGAGCCGGACAGTAAATATTTTAGGCTTTTGCAGACCATTCAGTTTCTGTCCCAATGACTCAATCTTGCCTTTGTAGGGTGAAAACTGCCACAGACAGTACATAAATGGATGGTCTTGTCCAGATTTCTGGATTTGGTCCATACCATACTTTCCCAACCCCTAAGGAACTCTTTCAGCTCTGAAATCCTAGGATTGGTAAGGAAAAAAAGGAGACTTTGGAAGGGGCAACAGAGATTACTGGAAATCTTTCAATGGAATGATGGAGCTTCTAAGAGTAATCTGATCCTAAAGGAATTTTGATTTTGTCTTGACTAGCTATTTTCAAATTCTGTACATAAATAAGTTAATTAGTAGAAAACTGATAGTCATGCAAATGTTTGCAGTTCATGGCAACACAAAACAATTTTTCTCCATGTAAGAATATAAATCTTTGTTAGTCAAATCCTTATTTAAACTGATTGTAGCAGTTTTCCAGTCCCCTCATTAATTAATGTTATACAAAATCTTTGTCACATGCTCATTTTATATTTGTATGAGAGTCATGATTTTACCTTTAAAAAATTACTCTTTTAAATATACCCAAAGAAAACGATCCCTGATTCAAAAGACACATGCACCCCTATGTTTATCACAGCACTACTTACAAAATCAAGATATGGAAGCAACCTAAGCATCCGTCAGTAGATGAATGGATAAAGAAGATGTGGTATATATACACAATAGAATATTATTCAGCCATAAAAAGAACACAAATCCTACCATTTGCAACAACATGGATGGAGCTAGAGGGTATTACGCTCAGTGAAATAAGCCAGGTGGAGAAAGACAAGTACCAAATGATTTCCCTCATGTGGAGTATAAGAACAAAGGAAAAACTGAAGGAACAAAACAGCAGCAGACTCATAGACTCCAAGAAGGGACTAGTAGTGGTTACCAAAGGGGAGGGGTAGGGGAGGGTGGTGAGGGGAGGGAGGGAGAAGGGGATTAAGAGGTACTATAATTAGTACTAACAATATAGATAGGTCACAGGGAAGGCAGTACAGCACAGAGAAGACAAGTAGTGACTCTGTAGCATCTTACTTCGCTGATGGATGGTGATTGCAATGGGGTGTGTGTGGGGGGGACTTGATAATATGGGTGAATGTTGAAACCACAATGTTGCTCATGCAAAACCTTCATAAGATTATATATCAAAGATGCTTTAATTAAAAAAAATTATCCTTTAAGACATTCTCTAATTCAAGCATGCATAGAACATATTCTTCTGGAGGTGTGTGTGTGAGGGGAGGTGAGGGAACATAATGCAAGAATAAAAGCTATTAAATTTTTATACAAAACAAGTTGGAATGGGGCTGTCATCTTCAAACTCCCTCTCTATGCAGAAATACAGAAATCCCCACAAAATATTTTATTACATAATTTTATCTGAATTTTGGGGTAGATACCATGTTCTTGTTTTGGTCTACTTTGTCCCCAAATATTTCCTTCCACATGGGAAATTCACAAATTCTCAATAGAGTGTCAGCAAGCACAAAAATCTGAGTTCTTTTGATGTTGTCTTTCTTAAAGCAGTTCTTTTAGAAATATCTGAGATGGTAGGTCAGCGAAGAACAGAACCTGGCCCACTAAATTCTTCCTAGCTCACTGCCCATTAAGGGGGAGTGAAGCCTAAAGGCAAACGTGTCAGTCACAGCCCACCTGGGCACACTTTCCCAACAGCCTCTTTGTCTTATCTCTTCCCGTGAATAAGGACTCTGCATTAATAATAATTTAGAAAGATTGATTGCTATGCTAAGGATGATTTAGATTCTTCAGTAGTTATTGGGATAAGGGAGTCAGAGATCAGAAAAGGAGGTAAAACTTGAAAGCAGCTCATATTCTGGATTTTGACGTGTACCAATACGCATCTGATGGCAGAAGTATAAGGGGAGAACAGGGAGAGAAACAAAACAAGGACTTAGCCTTCCCATCTGACTTTTTCCCAACAGTTAAAGAAAAACAGAAGTCCCTGACAGGTATTTTTACCTCTGAGCATGGGAGTGACGATAGTAGAAATCAAACTTCCAGCATTAATGGACAAATAAAAGATGGAAAAAAATCTGTTTCTTTGTTTTTCCTGTAATAAAAAGGATAAAGTCACAGTATGATGACTTTGGTTACAGATCAATTGATCACATGTAGCTGATCATCTGACTTCACCTCTAACTTAGATTTGCTCAGTCTCCTACTTTCAAGTATATGTGAAAAGAATCAAAGGAGAACAAAATTTGTGGCAGTGGAATTTGATCCCTGAGTGTTTGTAATTCACTGACGTAGTCTGTGTTAAGGTGCATGCTCTTACCTGGCCCTCTTCAAACTGGTCTCCACCAAATGCAGACACACAGGGCTTTATTCCTCCAGTGCCGAGAGCTATCAGGGCCAGGCCGATCATGGACAGTGCCCTAAGAAAGAAGGGGATTGCAGAAATGTGAGATCCTAAAAAGCAAGAGCCTCTCTTCCCACGGATTTCCCTCAAACAAGCTGACAATTTTTGTTTCTTTTTGTGTTTCTGGACCCAATTTTCAGTGTGGGAAGGGTGGTCCCCACAATAAGTAATTCTGCAAACACCAGCTGGGTGTCCTGTATTCAACTCGGTTTTGACACTTTCTTCCTGGAGATAGCATCAAATTCCACAGGTGAAGGACTCAGTCCTACAGGTGTGCACCCCCCAGCTCATCCCCGTTCAGAGGACAGTCATAAACCCAGGTTGTCACCCATGCTTCTAACCAACTGACTACAAATCAGAGGTGGCCACAACACCCTCCTTGGGTTTAATTAATTTGCCAAAGCAGCTTACAGAACTCAGGAAACATTTTACTTACTACATCACCAGTTTATTACAAAAGGATATAACTCAGAAATAGTCAGAAGGAAGAAAGGCGCAGGGAAAAACAAGGGGAAAGGGCAAGGAGCTTCCCTGCCCTCCCCACGCCCACCAGTCTCCCTGTGTACCACGTGTTCACCAACCCGGAAGCTCTCTGAACCCAGTCCTTTCAGGACTTCTATGCAGGCATCATACATGGGCTACTGGTGACTGATGCAACCTCCAGAACTGCACCCCTCTCTGGAGGTTAGGGTGAGGTCTGGGAGGGGGTGGGACTGAAGTTCCAAGCCTCTAATCACATGGCTGGTTTTCCTGGCAACCAGCCCCCATCCTTAGGTAGGACCCGAAAGTCATCCCGTTAATTTACAAAGAGACACCTTTGTCATTCTCCTCATTTAGTAAATTCCAAGGGTTTTAGACAAAGACCAAATGTGTATTTTTTATTATAAATCATAATATCACAGTGATAAACACAGAGAAGGAGCTCAACCTGCTGGAGAAAATAATTTATAGGAATGCAGTCTTGACAGTTGAATGAAACCTCCAAGTTCATGCCACTATCTAGAAAATTTAAAGCAATAGCTGGAATACTGGACAAGGATTTATGTATGCAGTTCTTCTGTATCATTTTCAGTATCTATCATTTTCAGTAAAAGGATGCATAATTAAAATAAGCATTGTCTCTGGTATAATCATGATGGGCTCATACTGGTCATTAACAGACATTGGAAAACAGATCAAACTGCAAAGCAGGGTATCAGGTTATGTAGTATGATCCTAACTTTGGTTTGCAAAGTACAGAAGGCTGGAAAGTAAAGCAAAAGATTATAACCTTTTACAATAATAAGGGGATTATTTATGTCAATACAAGGTATTAAGGGTTATTTATTCTAATTTACTTTTGTATTTTTCAAGTGTCAAGAAGAAATGTTAAGAATGCTGCTTCTGAGAAGTAGCCAGCCTTAACACTTGGGTTATCTAAAACAAAGACCCAATTTATGGTCTGTAGGACAAGCATTGTGCATCTGCTTTATGTCTGAATAGTTGCATGAAACTACCCTGGGCCTAGGTAATGAAGAAAGAAATATGCTGTCCCATCAATTTCTGTATGTACTGACCTGTGGAAGGTAGCTATTGATATCACGATTGACATCCTTTGCTAGAGGGCGTACATATCCTTACAAGAAAGCTCTCCTTTCCAGAGCAGTTTTCTTCTTCAGAAGGGCTGAGTTTCCCAGGTAGCTGTCTTGCACCTGGGCTCAAATAAAACTCTGATAACTCTTTTCTACAGTTTCTACTCTAGGATTTTCTTTTTGTTGACACAAGTTACCTGTGTTTCACCTCCTGAATTGAAAAGAATCACTCATAGAATTTACCAGCTCTCATTTTGTAGTTTTGTTAGACATATACTAGGTCCTAGAAATTTCAGGTTTTATAAATGTTTATTCCATATCTTCTTGGTTGCTAATGTTGCTTTACATGCTAAAAAATATTTTATGAAACAGATAAAGTCACAGAAGACACTGTACCTTTAAAAAATCACGGTCATCTTCCAGGGTTAACTGGCCAAGGTACCTCTTTGATTTGCCTCTTAATACAACTTGTGTTGAGTGCTGCTACTCTGAGCATTTTAGAAGACAAAAAAAAACATGCCATTTGAATATTATACACCAGGCACTCTTGTGAGAACTGTGGCTATGTCCCAATCTAACTACAGGAGATAAAGTAGGTAGCTACGCTGTCTCAAGTACTCATCACTTGCCATAGAGCAATGATCTAGCTGCTCTACTGGGATTAATACACAATAGTCTGATCTGAGGTGGGTTCTATTAGAAATGAAGACATGTAGGCAGGGAGGTTAAGGAACTTGCTTAAGATGAGTAAGGGGCACAGCCAGAATTTGAACCCACATAGCCTGGCTCCAAAGCCCATGTTCTTGACTGATACTGCAGAGCAGAGGCCTGGAGAAGGTGAATTGCCCCAGCCCTGCTCTGCTCTGGGGGCAGCAGATACTGGAAGTCTGAGCTGCTGGCTGTTCTTATACCCACTCCTTTCCAGCAACACTGTTCCCTGTGGACACTGAGCGGTTTGTATCAAGGTACCCAGTCTGCACAGCCATCTGACTGATTAGCCAGAACCACAGGCAGTGCAAGTACTAGTTTGAATTTCCATTATATTTTCCCAACCCCTAAAATGGTTTACTCATAGATTAAGGAACTGAAGCCCAAAACAAGAAACAAAATCACTTTTATAATTTGTCCACTGGGCCCGACTGCAGTGGAGGGAAACTAACCTCGTGGAGGAGCATTGGTTAATAACACTTTTCATCAAGAACTCAGGACACGGGGCCGGAACGATATTTATGACACTGAATTACTGAAAAACAAGTGCAAGTGTGGTAGAAGACAGAAAACCAAAGGTACAGGGCCTTGAGGAGGTCTGGCACAATTAAGGACCAAGGCATGTGGGAGTTACGTTCCCTCCAGGGAAGATCCAGATGAATGAAACATCCTGAGCACCGAGACATCCCTAAGACAGCGCGCCTTCCAGGAGTACTTATAAAATAAGCACTTACAAAATCTGAAATTTCTGTGACTTACTATAAACCAAAGAAAACTACAAAATGAGAGCTGGTAAATTCTATAAGTGATTCTTTTCAATTCAGGAGATAAAACACAGGTAACTGGTGTCAATGAAAAGAAAATCCTAGAGTACAAAGTAGAGTCCCTGTAACTGTCAGCACAGCGACATACTGTACGCCCTCCTCTTAGTTATGAGTTGATGAGGGAGGAAAGGCCTTTTTACATGTATGGTGAAGTTCAAGCAAAAAAGATGGAAAACTAGAGCTCCAGATGAGCACGCAGTGGGAGGGCGGGGCAGGGCAGCAGGTCCACCCACTCACACGTGCACAGAGAGGTTGTCAGGGGTTCCGTTGTGGTTGAAGTCTGTGAGGTCATGGATGGAGCTCACTGCGGTGACTGCCTGGCCAATTGTGTAGACGATGGACAGCGACACGATCGTCCTGTGTTAAAGGGGTTAAGAGAATCCAAGTTAAGTGCCCAGGAGCAGTCCTGCTCCAAGCCCAAGGGCCCTGGCCCCAAAACTGCAGAGCCCAGTCCCGAGTATGTTGTGTTTCAATCCTGAGTATAACCCATCATTCTGAGCAGACGGCCTGCTGGAGGAGCCAGAGGAAGGGGAAAGATCCGCTTTATCTTTGAGCCATTTGAAAGACGTAATGTCTTTTTTATCTAAACACTGAAATTGGCGCTTACATCTTTAAACAGCGAGAGACACTTATCTTGTGCCGGCCAACAACGTTTGGCCTGGGGATGGCCCATTGGTCATTCCTGTATTGTGTTGTGTTATTCTGTGATGGTCTGTGAATTTTCCCGTTTCTGCCCATGGCATGCCTTTGGCCTGGGAAAGCCTCCATTTCCTGGCTCCTTAAGTCCCAGGAACTTCCTGATAACCCCTTATGGAGTGCCCTCCTGGAATTGTTCTGCAGAGCTGGTGGGTGGCCCATGGCCTCTGTGTGAACCTTTCAGCAGCCAGGACATAAAGAGGGGGCTTCTTGGTTCACCCCACCCTTAACTGCATGCCACACTCATCACTAACGATAGACAGTATCCCGGCTGCTATTTCAAGAGCAGGCAAAGATGTTATCCTGTTTGTTTGGAGGAGGAAGAAGGCCTTCCAATGCTACTGGCGGCCACACTACTTACTAGATGCCACGCACTGGGCTAGACTCTAGGGATTTGCTGATGCGTGGAAACAGGGCCCAGCAGCCTCTCCTAAGAGTTTTAGTTCCTTGATTCTTTGATCCCATAGTCTACCATCCCAACCACAAAGCTTATGATTACTTTTTGGCCTGTTTATTAACAACAAAGCTGCAGGTACTCACTTGAACTTTCCTAGCCAGGAGTCAGCGATCAGAGCTCCGAGAATCGGCGTCAGGTAGCACAGAGCCACAAACGTGTGGTAGATGGCCGTGGACAAGTTATCGTCCCACCCAATGAATCGTCTGAAGTACAGAATCAGGATTGCTTTCCGCAGAGGGCAGGTGGAGGGGAGGGGGAAACAAAGTCAGGAGAGGCTGCGGTAACTCAGGCTCTTCATGCAAGGGAGGCGCGTGTCAGAAATAGTTACCTCTCATTCCATAGTAGGAGAATCTTTCACAGAACTCATTGATCACGATGAAGAAGATGCTCAGAGGATACCCGAAGCAGCCCTGACAAACAGAAAGTCTGGGATTGAAATATACTCCCCACTGGTGCATATCTGCAAATGAGCGCTAACGGCATAAAAATAGCCTGATGTGTGTTCAGTAACTTGTCAGTGACTATCGAGAGGTGGAATCTACAAGTTCAAAACGTTTATTCCCTTACATGCCACACAGAGACAATGAAACGAAGCATCCATTTTTATTGTTAGTCTGAGAAGGACTAGGCACAGCTTTCCAGAAAGAGAAGAAATTTCACACAGGAACTGGGGATTGTCCCCTCAGTGATGTTAGATGCAAGATACGAATTTCTTAGGTGAGTGAAGCACAGCTATAAACATTAGGAGCAAAACTGACCAAAGATTACAAAATGAAGCTACTCGGAGAAGAAAAAAGGATACTCACCCGTGATCTGGACGTTCCTGAAAGGAAAACAAATGCCACTGTTAAAATCTAGTCATTAAAACACTTTGCTAAATCTAAATTCGGGCCCTCTGGCTTTTCATGGCAGCCAGACAGCTTGGCCCTCCAGATCCCAGCCCCAGGCCCTGCTGCTTCTCGGAGAGGGGCCTGGGCCTGGACTTCCTTTAATTAGCTCCTTGGGCAGGTCTCACAAGGGTCAGGATGGCGCATCGGAGGCTCAGAGAATGGTACCCAGGCCTCTTCTGCCTTAAAACACTTCAGAGGCTGCCCACTGCCCTCAAGATACAATCCGAACGTGTCAGCAGGTCCTTTCTGTCTCAAGGTCATGGGGTTTGGGTGAGGATTACATGCTGGACATGCAAAATGCTGAACGATGCTAACCCTCCAGGACTCAACCATTCCTGCTCCTGGCCCCGCTTCCTCCTGGGCCCACCCCCCAGACTCCCACGTGTCCTCCTATCCCCTCAGTGAGCAGGCCGTGTGCCCACACTACATCCTTATTGCACAGGACAGCAGCTCCCTGGCCCGCAATGCCCCGCCGCCTCCTCTTTGAGTCTTGCCGCCGCAGAGCCTTCACGAGCCTTTCTGACCAACTCGTGTGACTGCGGTGCAGCAACAGGGACTTTGTTTTCACCTCCACTCCAGTGGAAGACTCACCTCCACACCCCCAACCTCTGTCCAGTACCTACTGCACAGCAGGGCTTCTTACCAGAAGCAGAAAGTGGATGAGCAAGAAGAGGCGAGAGCCTAGCGAGTCGGTGCGAACCAAGGGCCAGGGGCTCTGCCGTCTCGGTCTTGGGCGCATCCTCCGGGCCCACCACCCGGTCCCTGCCTTCAGTCTCCCCCGAGGCTTGACGCAAGCTGACCAACCCATGCCCTTGTCTCAAGTCTTAACACATCCCCGCATTGCTCCTGGCACCAACGCACCGGCCTGTTTTCAGCTGTCACACGCTGCTCCCCTTCCCATGGGGAGTCCACCCCGTCCCCTGGCCACATCTTAGAATTGTTTATTCTCAGGGACCCCTGGGCACCCCTGCCTCTGTTACAAATGGGAGATGCCGCAGTGCCCCACAGTCCCCATGAGGGCCATGGGATTAGGTTCCTGGGCCCCAGGCTCAGATTTGCTGCTCTGTAGGTCTGGGGTAGCCCCATGACTTGGCCTTTAAACAAGTTCTGAGGTGACAGCCGTGCTGCTCACTCAGGGGCTGCACCAGAGCCACAGGCAGGCTGTGATGGTGAGCTCCTGAATCACCTCCCTGGCCCCGAGCACCAGCGGGACCCTTCTGTGCCAGCTGTCCAGAGCAGGAACCGAATACAGAAGCTGGACCACCACCACGTATTCTCAGGATGTGCAAGTGCACAGCCTCGGCCCACGGTCACCACCACCACAGCTCTGCCTGAGAAATTCCATTCACAGCCCAGGCCCAGGCGGCAGTCCAGCCCCCCACTCATCCCGGGCCCTACCCCCTGCTTCTGAGCACGTTGTGTGGTGTGCGGCCCCGCTCGGCGTGGCCCCAAGACCGGACACCCTGGTGGGAAATAAACTGTCCTGGCCTCACAGGGCTCCGATACCCATCTCTTCCTGCCTTTAGAGTGGAAGGAGATTCCTCAACACTAAGACCGGTTTTCTCCCCAGTTAGACTTCCTTGTGGGAAGGGGCTGCTTTGAGGAGCAACACATGCAGAATGGGGGCATGGGGTCAGAGGTGTGACGGAATCTCAGTCACTTCCTAGCGGCGACCCTGTGCCAGCCCATCTTCCCTTGGGACAAGTTGCCTATCAGAAGCCTATAATGCCACCACCTCACAGGACTGCCGAGGAGTTCCTGCGTGAAGCTCCAGCCCAGAGCCTGGTGCATCGTGTGTGGGAGATGCTACTACCTTGGAATCCTCAGCACCTCACGTGCTTTTCACAGAGTGGAAAGGAAATGTTTGTTGAATGGATGAGTATTCCAAAGAACCAGGAGCCTCAGTCATCGAGCACAATGTTCAGGCCTGGCTCTGCCTAGTCCTGTCTGGGCCTGCTAGACTCCTTCTGCCCATGAGGCTGACCTGCGTGGAATTCATCAGTGTGCCTCTGTCTCCCCAACACCCCCATAGGGTTTGTCTAATGGGGAGCACTGGTAAGAGATCACAGGGTCATGGTATCCCTGCCTCCTTCCCAAAAGGTCCCCTCAGACTGCTGTGTCTTCAAGTGACAGCCCCTGCTTCTCTGAGGTTGACCCTCTCCATCCAGGTTTTGGTCACTGTTTTATACCACTTCCTACATGTAGCAACAGTGAGGCCCCTACTATTATCTGCACTCCAGGTACCTGCACTGTCATTTATGGTCCCCCACCCTTCCTTATATATTTTTTTAATTGAAGTATCATTGATACACAATTTCATATTGATTTCAAGTATATAACGCAGTGGTTCAACAGTTACCCATATTATTAAATCCTCCCCTCACTTGTTCAGTTACTATCTATCAACAGAGAAAGATGTTACAGAATCATTGGCTGTACTACCATCCCTGTGACCATCTCATAATATTTGAGAATTTTTGTGCCCCTTCATCCCCCTCACCCTTCCTACCACCTACCTTAACCCCTCCCTCATAGTAACCACCAGTCACTTCTCACTGCCAACGAGTCTACTGCTGTTTCGTTCATTCTGGTTTTTTTTGTTCTTAGATTACAATATGATAGGTGAAGTCATATGGTATTTGTCTTTCTCCACCTGGCTTATTTTACTTACCACAATACCCTCTAGGTCCATCGATCTTGCTGCAAACAGCAGGATTTCTTTTTTTTTTTTTT